TGTTCACACACACACACATGTTCAGTGTTCACACACACACACATGTTCAGTGTTCACACACACACACATGTTCAGTGTTCACACACACACACATGTTCAGTGTTCACACACACACACCTGTTCAGTGTTCACACACACACACCTGTTCAGTGTTCACACACACTTGTTCACCTTAACAGGTTAGAAAGAGATCAGAAACAGGAGGAATCAGGATCTGACAGAAAAGTTTCTGACTTTAGATTCATCAGTTCAGGAATCAGGTTGATTTAAATAAATCAGGAGAAAGGAGGCGTTTGATTGGTTGTTTCTGGTTTTCACCCACCTGGACAGAATTTCAGACATTTCTTTTGCCATTTCCTCCCTAAAAGAAGCAGCAGGTTCATAAAGTTTACAAACCACAGGTTTCAGCAGGAAACAAACTTTAAATGTTTAAATATCTTCGTATCCAATCAGGATGTTTAACAGCTTTAACTGAGGAAGATGATGCTACGAGTGATTTTAGTACAAACTATCTGAAACCTGAAGCGCTCCTCTCAGCATCTTTATGGACCAGAACACAGTAATGTGTCCACTTCCACAGCTGACTCACGCTGTAGAGCACCACTTCCTGCTCTGAGACACTTCATCATATGAGCCGAAGCTTTCACCGACCCTCAGCTAACAGCCGAAATAAGCTAAAATTATTCCTAGAGGAGACAAAGAGGAACCTACATGGTGTAGCTTTTCAGCTTTCTGGCTGCAGGAGCTCTGTGGAGAGAGGACAGGAGACATCAGGGACGCAGCGAGGACACCGAGACAACTGACCAATCAGAGGACACAGACATCAGGACACGCAGCGAGGACGAGACAATCGACCAATCAGGGAGGAGACTTTAGATTTGATCAAATTTCAGGACAAACGAATCATCAAACTGCTGAGAAAAACAACAAAAATCTTTGATTTATTAAACAACTTATTTTTCTTTCATCTAATTTTAATTAAAAAAAAGTTTGACCAAAAACTAAAAGTGAGACAATTTAAAACTGATTGACTCAGCAGGTTGTGGATCAGCTCTTTGAATTGAACAACCTCAAAGAGCAAACAGGAAGTGGGTTTTACCTGGTCTGTTAAATCAAAGCCCAAATTAACTTTTCAAAATAAGTGTCTGGCTGATGTTAGAGGAAGTCCTCTCAGCTTCACGTTGATGTTTATAAATTCTGTTTGGAGTTGAATTCTCAACAGTTTGATCTTTTCAATGAAACCTGAACGTTTCGGAACATTTGTAACGGCCGCTGAAGCTTTCTGAGAGAATCTGAAAAAACAAACGGCTTTAATTTGAAAGGTTTGTGCAGTCAGAGTCAGGTCTGTCAGGGTGTTAGGCATGCAGGGGTTAAAGGTCAGAGGGGAGGGCGGGGCCAGAGGTGAAGGGGCGGGGTCTTACGCTGCTCTCTCTGGGGACGATGGACCTGAGGAGCCGTTACTGAGAGGACAAACACAAGAGAAACGATTAAACAGGTGAACTTCAGGATCAGTCTTTGATCCAGGTTGTCTGGACTCTTCAGACTCAGGCTGAGGCTCAGCAGAACCTCTCTACATTTGAAGGTTTGTGTTGGGGCCAGTACCTGCGCAGGCCCAGGTCGGTCTGGGCCTCCTCGGGAATGAGCTCAGCCTCGCTCTGGGCGATCCTCAGCGCCAGCTCCCGGTCCCGCCTCTCCTGCTCCAGAACGGCCTGCCGGGCCGCCTCCTCCTCCCGCTCTGCCTGCAGCTGCAGCTCCATCTCCACCTGAAACCCACAGACACAGCTGCTAACATCCGTCAGGTCCAACAGAACCTCCACCCGTCTCTGGGTCTGGACCGTCAGAGCAGGTGCAGGTTCTGATCCAGAAAACAGAACCTGCAGCAGCTCTGAAGACTGAGACAAACAGGAAGTAGTTCTGCTTGTTGGCTCAGAGTTTAACCTTTAAACATCTGCAGCTGAGGAAACCTGGAAATATTCTGCAGATCCTGATAATCTAATCTGTTGGTCTGAAAGAGATTAAAGGAAGTGTAAACATTATTAGAAGGTGCTCTGCATGAGCAGAAGAGATAAAAACTGAAACATGTCTGGAAGGACTCAGATCCTCTGCCATCATGGAGACGATGTGAGCAGCAGCTTCTAAACTCAACGTTTACACACTTTAATCTGTCAGACTTCAAAGACTTTCATCTTCCTTTTACAGAAACTCACAACTGAGACAAACAGCTTGATTTAAGGAGAAAAAGAACTGATGGTTGTTCCTGCAGGACGAGCATCAAGTATGATTTGATTTGTTTCAGCATGAAGTATTAAACATCTGACACAATGAGCCCAGAAG